ATTGTTTCTTTTATCAATGGTAAACTTTAAATTTATGATTAAATTCAACAAAATAAATTTAATAAAAATAAATGAAAAAAATGAATTTAATAAATTCCTGTCCCTGAGCTGTTGGCTTTAAGTAACTAAGCAATTTAGTTGGATAGCACAGAATTAATGTCTGAAAATAAGCTGCTTAAAGTCAGCATCAACCATAAACTAAATAATATTTCTGTATTTATTTCAGATTTAGTCAGTCATACACTTAGTTCTTATCAGTGTTTAAAAGAGGACGTGTTAAAACACTGATTAGTCAAAGTTAAACATGAAACATCAAAGTTCATTACAAGTGGCCCTTCGAGGGCCACCATTACGCTCGTGTGGCCCTCGGTGAAAATGAGTTTGACACCGCTGGTCTACTGTCTCTAAAACAAAATGTATCTTTTTATTTTTATTCTTGCACATTTCTTTAAATTATATTTTTTATTATTAGTAGTCATATCATGGCTAGTCAGTGTTAATTTCGTTTTTTGAGTACTGTCTATAGTTTGTAAAGTAACTAGTGTGTGAACCTCTGTGACACCTGAATTACCCCTTGGCGGGACAATAAATTCTATTCTATTCTTTCATTTGTTTTTTAATCAAATTGTGGGTAGTGTCTCACCTCCACAGCTGCAACTTTTCCTGGGTCGAAGCCGTCACACACCAGCAGGACCAGAGAGTCTCCAACGGCACGGAGCACTCGCACCGCCTCTGTGTGAGTCATTCCCAGGAGGCTGTGGTTGTTCACCTCAAGAATACGCATGCCYACCTGCAGTCGTCCATCTCGCGCCGCTGCTCCCGTCGAACTCACCTGGAAACAGCAGAAGTCAAAGCTTTGCACGTTTGTTTGCTAAACAGTTTCAAACGACGCTGAGCTTTAGTAGTTTAAGAACCTTAGAGATAAAGATGCCCTCGTCTGTGGGGTCGAAGGGATTTCCAGCATGGCCTTTGGCCCCTCCGCGGATGCTGATGCCAAGCTTCTCACCCGGCTGCTTTTGGATCAGAACTTCCTGCATCCCAGGTGGCGACGGGTCCCTCCGCACCAACATACATATCTCCTGCTTGTTGGCGAGCAAGGCACGAACGGCTTCCTGGTGCGTGGCGTGTCGCAGGTCGGTGGAGTTCACCTCTAATATGCGGTCTCCCACACGCAGGCCACTTTGACACGCCAGGCCGTGAGGAATGACCTGAAGACACGCAGCACAGGRGGTGAGTTTCCCTTTTTACAGTTTGGGAAAGCAAACAGGCGGCGTTTTTGTGTCCCGTACCTTTGAGATGAACACCCCAGGTTCACTGATGCCAAAAGGATGACTGGCATGATCGCTCCCTCCGACGATGCTCAGTCCAAGAGGTCCACCTGACTTCACCAGGGTCACCTCCTGTTTGGAGATGTTGCAGGAAGTTTTAAAAACAATTCAAATCTGAGCATAACAAAAGCAAAATGAGCTAAAAAAAAAAAAACACAGGAAGCAGAATTATCTACAAGTCTTTAACTCTAAAAGTAACCAGTGTGTTTCTATGACACACAGTCGCATCAAGCCTTCYTACCATGCACCACCATCTGTGGAAGTGGACAGCATTAGGAACAAAACAAACGAGCTTCAGCAGGGTTTCTGCTGCACGCTGAWGTCCTCACCTCGATGGGATACTCATCCTCCATTCGTCCCAGATGGTTCCCCTGGAGGCCTTCCTCATCCTGGTCCGGAGAATCTGAGGGTTCTGGAGGTGGTGGTGAGTGGGCCCGTCTCCGGTTCTGACTGGGAGAACCTCCCGGAGCACTCGGGTCTCGCTCCACCAGCAGCGAGATGGTGGGGGAGGTGCCGGTAAGGAGCGCTACTGCCTGGTCATGCCTGGCCTCTGTCATGTCTACACCATTGATCTGGATCGACAGTAAAACCAACCATGGAGGGTGTGAGCCCACCACCAAGCTGCACATTTCTTAAGAATAAAAGCAGAGTGGGAACGGCAGGTCGTCACCAYATTCTGCTCATCATTAAAGGGATCCATGATTAGTTGTAACTTTAGACTTTATTTGATAAACATCTGTTTTAACTGTAAAATAAAGACTGTAAAAATACTGTAGGCTGTTTAGTTTTGTAATTTTTTATAAATATATTTTAACACGGACGGAGCCATTTTATTTACACACAAAGCATTCTGGGTAAATGATGACGTGGATAGGTCCTCAGTGTGAGTGAGCTATAT